GAGCACCAGCCTTGAGTGAAAAAAAAACAAGTGAGAGCATGAGGCCCTAAATTCAAGGCTCAGTACCAGCACCTCCAAAAACACAAATTTTGCCAGACTAAAGATAGCATACTCTTGCATTATGCGTACTCTCTGTATTATACAAATGCAAATACACACACACACACACACACACACACACACACACACACACACACACACACACACACACACACACACACATATTCAGGACAGCTCTGGCAAAAAGCAAGAGCTCATCTCAAATATAACCAGAGCAAGAAGGAAAAGGGCTAGATGTGTTGCTCAATTGTCAGGATGCCTGGCAAGGAAGTATGAATCCCTGAGTTCAAACCTCAATACTTTCTCCACCAAAAGATTCACTATCACCAACACTATCTTCAAGAAAGAAAACAAAGGAGTATGATAAACCTTTCAGTGTACTTTGTCCAGTCAAGCAATGGGAACTACTGAATGATTAACACAAAAGTAAGATATGATCAGGAAGAGGATTGTACTTAGATAAAATTGAAGTCTGAACTCAAGAAGTCTTTAATTGTAGTTGCTACAATGTAGGGGAAAGGGAATAGAAGATACAAACCTGAAATGAGGCTGATGGCAATGAGGATGGAAAGAAGAGGAAAGAATTGAGATAAGCTGCAATATTTCAAAAACAGCAAATGTAGAAGGCAAGGGCAATGTGGCACTGAATAAAACAGGTAATGCAGGAAAAAAAAAGGACTCTGGATATTTTACCACTAAACATTGGGAACACTAACTAGATCAGAGTACTATTTTGGTTACTAAAGAAAAGGTAGGGTATGTGTAATATTGTGTATGTATGTATGTGTGTGGCGGGGGAGGGGGTAACACATGTACACACATGCACAAGTGCTGGGGCTTGAACTCAGAACTAGGCTACTGCTGTCTCTGAGGATTTTTGTTCAAGGTTAGCATTCTGCCACTTGAGCCACAACTCTACTTCCAGCTTTTTGGTGATTAGTTGAATATTAGAGTCTGTTTCAGGGCTAGCTTCCAACTGCAATTCTCTGACTTCAGCTATTAGACTGACAGGTATAAGCCACTAGTGCCCAGCAATAGCTACACTTTCATGTCCATTCAAGCTGGTGCCACTACATGATGATTTCAATGCTGCCATCTTATGGCAAAATACGGCATTATACAACCTAAAAAGTCTTATTCAACAATAAAACCTGAAAATACCAAAGACTGAGAGCACATTAAAATGTAGAAAAAAAGTTATTTAATGACAGTAACAGTCATTTATTATTTGTAACAAATAATTTTGCTGTCTGGGAATAATCTTGACAAAACAGAAGATCTCAGGAGTTAAATAATTAATAGTTCACAAGAAATAATTTTTGAGAAAAACAAAAAGTGATTTGATGATTTTTCCTTATCTAAAAAGACACATGAACAGAGATAATAGGGGAAAGGAAAGTTGAAAAAACTCAGTTATTTCACTTCTTCTATAAATTCTATTTGTTTTTCTAGTCATAACTGCTCAGGAAACAGCAGCTGCTTAAATTTGCTCCAATAGTGTATTCACTGGTTTTAACTCTAATCTCATCACCACAGGCAGTTTAAGGAGGAAAAATAAATGTCAAGATTCTAATAATTTAGGGACTCAGAATTCAGACAGCTAGTTATATTTTACTGAAATACTGACAAGTGATATATAACATTATCAGTCTTCAATTTCTTCCACTAAGTAAAATCATGTTGAAAAAACATTCAATGGCATTGAAAACTGAGTTAATTTCAATATAAAAAAATAACCTGTACACATATTATAATCTTAAAGGAAGGAAACAAAGAGTATCGAAGAAAGTAAAAAGTCTGAGAACTCTTAAAATTAAGGTAAAATCACTTGTTTGTCCAACATGGCAAGTTATTACACTTACACACACACACATACACACACACACACACACACACACACACACACACACACACAAACACATACTCTCATACACTCATTCATTCACATAGTATCATAAAGTTTAAATCCAAAAACAAGGATTTTAAGTCATTAAAAGAGATTAATGTTTGATAAATCAGAAAAATACAAAGACAAAATACTCAATTAGAACTTTATTATTCAACTGGGCACAGTGGTTCACTCCTATGATGACAGCTACTCAAGAAGGGAGACAAGGTGGGCAGTTTGAAGTTTACTGTGCTCTCAAGAGGAAGCCACTAGAATGGGTTCAAGTACAAGAGTGATATATTCTTATTTCTGTTTTAGTAAGTACATTTGCACAATTTCTGCACCTCTGGCAACTAGTATTCATAAGGTCGTCTGTAGAGGATGCCTAGGCAGGCCTCTTCAAGGAGTCTGTTATAAGGGTGTATAATGCTGTCAGCAGTGAGGCTGGAAAGAAGTGCCTGGAGTACATTACAGAGTAAAATTTACAGGACTTGAGGATACAATCAATGAGACTGAAAACTGTTAGTGAGTGAATTGCAAAAGTGATTCACTTTAGTTGGGTAGAAGATATTATTGGAGGTGTGGAGCAGGATAATCATCCTTGGTTCTTTGGGAGCTTGAATGAATAAGTGAGTATTTATGATTGATGTGGAGGCCACATTTCAATCCATATTTTAGACAGATAGTATACAGGTATATTTTATTCCTTTTATTAGCTGTATCAGTCTCTTTAAAATTTTAATCAATCTTTTAACATAGTGTTTGTAATGCAAAATTTTTTATAATCTAATACATACATCAATGATCTATTTTTGTCTCTTAAGATCTGCCTTTTTCAGAAATTTCAAAAATAAACAGAATTATTCAACACATAGTCTTACATATCTGACTTACTTAGCATAATGTTCTGAAGGCATCCATTTGATTTAATCTATTAGCCATGCATTCTGTTGTTGAGTTGTGTTGTATTATATGGATGTATCATATTGTGTTGGTCAATTTATCACTTGATGGGCATTTGAATTATTAAATTTTTAGCTATCATAACTAATACCACTATATATTCTATGTAGACAATGCTGACTTATTTATCACTAATTAACAGATAGGACTGGAGTTGCTAAATCTTATATAAACGTGTTTAAGAAACTTCGCAAAGAGACTATACGAGTTTCCATTAATATCAGCAGTAAATAGTGTAGATGTTTGCAGTGTTTTTGTACTTGGGACAATCCTTTTCTATCTCCTATTTTAGGAGATATATTAGTGACATTTCACTGTGGCTTTAATATCTATTGATGATAAGCATCTTTTCATGTGCTCATTTGTGATCCATATGTCTATATATCTTTTCCAATGAAGTCCATTCAAATCTTTTTTCTGAAGATTAAAAGGTGTTTTGTGACTTTAGCTAATATAACTATACCACAGTATTGTGAAATTTATGTAGTCACATAATCTCAATAAAAAAATATTTTAAAAAAATCTTTCTTTTTATGTGTGACTTGTTCATGTTCAGTGCACACTCTGCCACTGATGTATACTCCTAGCCCTTTTGTGCTTTAAAAAAAAACTGGGTTATTTGTGAGCTTTAATTCTGCACATTCTAGATTCAAATCCTTATTTATATGTATATATGATTTACAAAGATATCCTACAAGTCTATGTTAATGAATTATGCTTTTGACATTTTATCTAAGAAATCCTTAACTTACCAAAATCATGAATATTTACCCTTAGGTCGCTGTACATACATTTTTCCAAAAGTTTTATGGTTTTACATTTTACATTTAAATCTGACTCTTCTTATGAAGTTGGGTATCTTTTTTTAATTAGCATGGATATCCATGTTTCAAAACTATCTGTTGAACAGACAGCATTGTCTTGGCATCTTTTACTGAAAATCAATTTAAATATTTGTGGGTAATTGGTTTCAAGATCTCCATTAGTAACATAATCTACATATGTTAACTTAGTCATCAGAGTTGTTTATATAAAATAGTGTAATATTTACATGTCATCTACCTGTACCCTCCCATACTTGTAATTCCTAATGTAAATACTATGTAGTCCTGATACTATACTAGTAAGGAAAATTAATAACAAGAAAAATATTCTGAGCATGCTCAGAACAGATACACTTTTTCAAAATTTTTAGATCCACAGTTTGTTGGATCTACAGATCCCTATCTGTTAACTCTTACCTCATATAAGGTATTATATTCCTAAAATCCCCAGAAAATGAAAATAAATGGTTGGTAATGTCTTCTCCCATCAAATCCAAGAAAATTCTGCTGTCATGCCAACAAATAATATATATTGGTAAAAATAAAACTTATTACTGGAAATAGAGGACAACATGTCACCTCCAGTCTTTTACTGTCTTATTTTTTATAGCATGATTCTTTTTTATAGCATGAGTCTTACCACCAATGGAAAAATTGCTGACCTTCATGTAAACATATCTATCAAATAACACAGGGTTGGGTTCTACCAAAATGTTTGTACATAGCATGAAAAATAATGGGGGGGAGGGAGAAGAGTGCTGGGGATTGAACACAGGATTCCATGCATGCTAAACATGTACATCACACTTCTAGCCCCCAAAAATGATTTTTTTGAAGAAAATTTGAAAAATATGAATGTTAGTTAGCAAAGGTTTAAATGAGAACTCTTCTTTATAATAAACTAGGAGCCATGTGCAAGGGTTAATGAATAATTATAGTATTTATAATAACAATAAATAGAAGCTACCTAAATACCTGTTGACAAGAGCAAATTATAGTATATTCACACTTTTGAATACTGAATCATAGTAAAAATGTACTACAGCTATATCCAATAACATAATGGATATTATGAATGTAATTTGAGAGGGGGGGGAAAGTCTCAAAGGCAGTAAGTGGTACCAACGCCTACAAGCAAAACTAAAATATAGTTTGGACAACATCCATCACCATAATCTACAAAGGTTTTTAAATCATTCATTACAAAATATTTTCCAGAATCTGAATAACAAACTCAGAATATACTTCAAATTTTAAAGTTTTACCTTTGCTTCTGTTCAACGGCTTTGTCCAAGTGCTGAAAGATATCCTGAAATAGGATGCAGCTGGATCGACTATTAATGGTATATCCATAACCTCTTTTCCAGTATTGCTTCAGATCATTTAAATATTCTAATACCTACAAATAAAAAATTCAAAAATCATTTCTAATATATTCCCATAAATGTAACAGATTGCCTGATTTAATAATTCTCTCTGAAAAGGTTACATTGTTTAACTATTATTCTAAAAAATAGAATCATAGCATTCTGAGTTTACATTTGCCATTCACATGTTTAGGAGTTGGCCCTGTGGCCTGCGATATACAGTACTCTGTTATAACTTTGAATCAGAAAAATGAGAAGTCTTGCATGCAGTCAAGTCTATTTAGGGAGAAAAAAGGAAGTGAGAATTTTGTGTGAATAGTGATCCTAATTATTCATTTATAAATAGTGCTCTTATCAATTTTAAAACTGTCCCAAATTTAGGTAAGGCATGATGACTCACATCTGTAATATTAGCAAGGCAGAGATCAGGACCACAGTTTAAGGCCATTCTAGGCAAAAAGTCAGTGAGAACCCCATCTCACAAAAGAAGCTTAAGCTACGTGAAAGGTATAAGTAGGAGTATCACGATCCAAAGCTAGGCCCCACGCAAAAACATGAGATGCTATTTTAAAAAATTGCCAAAGCAATAAAGGCTTCTGGAGGCATAGCCCAGGTGATACAGTTCCTGTCTAAAAAGCTCAAGGCCCTGTGGGTAAGCCTCAGTATTAATCCCCCCCCAAAATATCTGTTGATCCTACCTACTGAAGGAAGTTTCTGAAGTGATAGTTATACAGTTACAAATGATGAACAGAGTAGTGGAGAAAGAGGAAAATGGGTCATCAGGAAGTGATGTAGGGACATGGAATTTCATAGAATATACTTAGTACTCAGCCTCCTTATGCAATTATCTACTGGGGGGTCCTTTACACTCTTCTTCCACCTCAACCATTGAGTGTCATCTCTACTCTGACACAGTACTCACCATATCACTTAAGTCTCTAAGTAACAAAATGAAGCACTTATTTATACAAGTACATTAGCTTTCAGCTTAAAATTGTTCTATTTGCCAAACAGTAAACTTCTTTTTAGAATTTAAATTCTGAAGTTGACTGTTTATTTCTCTATTAAAAAAACTGAACGTTTATAGATATGCAAGAGATAACAAGGGTATCAGAAGTCTATAATTCCTGGAAAAATGTACTAACAATGTTTGAGAAAATAACAATCCCATACTCAGAATTTACCTCCTTTAAAGCCACTATACACCTGTCTAAGAGTCCAAAAGTCACAGTTCTAAGAATGAAAAGAAAAAAGGAGGAATGAAATATGCAGATAGAAAATACAATGAAAGGCTGGGAAGGTGGTCAGTGGTAGAGTGCTTTCCTCGCATGCATGAGGCCTGGGTTCGATTCCTCAACACCACATTAACAGAAGAAAAAAAAAAGCCAGAAGGGGCACTGTGGCTCTAGTGGTAGAGGGACTGAAGAGCTGAGGGGCAACACCCAGGCCCAGAGTTCAAGCCCCACGACCAACAACAAAAAAAAAGATGAATTACTGCCACCACTAGGTGAAACACAGAGCTCCATTTCTCATGAAAACTGCTAGAAAAGAATCAGTGTTCGGAAAACCACTTAGTCTCCCAAAGCTTTGACTTCCTATAAAAACAGCAACTTGTTCTATACTGACTCTACAACTCTTCCCAGTGGTAAAATCTGATGGTAGGTAAAATAGGTTTTTAAGTTGGAGCAGGTGAGGAAGTATATAGAAATCAAATCACCATAGAAAATTTTTTTCCAGTGATTTATGAACCCAAAGTATTTACAAGTATGTGGAATCTATCTGAACATTAACCTCTACTTAAAGAAAATGAGTTTAAATTCCTTAACTCTGCCTATTTTCAGAAGTGATTTACATAACAGCAACACCAAAGAAATCATGTGACTAAAACTGCAGAACACTTACCTTTGCATCATCTACATCAAAAACATCACACCAAGGAGATTTAATGCCTTTAATTGCCAGGTCAAATGAACAGGTGAAAAAAGCCACCTGAATTAAATCTAGGGGGAAAACATAGGTAAAATTTTATGGGTTATTAGTTTCTATAATTTTTACAAAACTAAATATCTGTAGAAAACTATTTGTAGGGACGCTGCAGAAACTGGATGTTTGGTTTAGAGAAGAGACTCAGATTTTTTCCTATCGAAGTATTGCTTTGTACAATGTAAATTGGTAGAACCACAACTATTAGGAAATCATGAGGCGGTAGAGGTGCTGGTCCAAGGAAACTAAAAACTTTCTGGAAATGAGTGCTTTTTAGCTATTAAAGCTAGTTGTTTGAACTGGGCATGGTGGCATATGCCTGTATTCCTAGCACTCAGAAGGAAGTGGCAGGAGGCTCTCTAGTTTGAGGCCAGTCTGTGCTACAGTGAAACCCTGTCCTAAAATTTGTTATCTACTAGAAGCATGTCTGCCTGGAAAACCCAGTAAAAAGATTACCAAGAGCATATGGTTAAACGCAACTTGATATTGCTGATTTTTAGAGGGAAGGAAAAAGGAAACCAAATTTATGTCTTAGTTGCAAATTAGTAACGAAGTACATTCATTAAAACTATGCAACAGTTATTCTATAGCTATTGGGAAAATCACATGAGAGAAGGGCTTAAGAGAAAGGGGAGCCTATAGAAAAGTATGTAGAAGATAACAAAAAGGAAAGAAAGAGCAGAGTGGCTAAAGGGGCAGGAGAAGTGGAACACTATCAGTTTTTCAAACTTAGCTGCCCAAGCAATTTCAGAACTGAATTAAAAAACAAGTTATTTGAGATTTTCACAATGCTAATTTGTGACTATGTTACTTTTAAATACATATTGGTACTGAAGAAAGGGCTTTGGAAATGAGTGCTCAGATTCCTAAGGGTAGTCCTTGTCAGTATCAATAAAACACTGCTGCTCTCGGATCAAGAAGTAGATGACAAAAAAAAAAGGAGGAAGAAGAAGGAAGAAGGAGGAGGAGGAAGGAAGGAAGGAAGGAAGGAGGAAAGGAGGAAGGAGGAAGGAGAAGAGGAGGAAGACATCTAATGCCAGAGGAGAAAAAAGTAATCTGCAGGTTTTATTTCTACTAATTTCATTTTTCTTGAAATTTTACATCCTTTCTTCTGTCCTAAGGTAAAATGGGGTCCCAAATTAATTGTTGCTATATTTTCCACACTAGTTCAGAGCCTAAAGAATCCTGATGCAGTATACAGATCACACACACACACACACACACACACACACACACACACACACACACACTCCTTAGCACTGGCAATATACATAACCATAAAGGGCCATGAAATGTAATTTAAAGAAACTCAAATTATGAACAAATTTTATGATGAACAAATTTAAAAGACCACATTATACGAGTGCTGGTGGCTCATACCTGTAATCCTAGCTACTTAGGAGGCTTGAGATTTGAGATTTGAGGATAGCAGTTCAAAGCCAGCCCAGACAGGAAAGTCTGTGAGACCTTTATCTCCAATTAACCACTAAAAAAACAGAAGTGGTGATGTGGTTCAAAGTGACAGAGGAGAAAGAGCTCAGGAACAGTGCCTAGGCCCAAAGTTCAAGCCTCACAACCAACAACAACAAAAAAAAATTGAGAAATAATATGCCTTTCAAAAAATTATGATATGGGTAATAATAAATGGACATATAATTGTTAGAGATCTTATAATCCCATTATATAACATAGTATAAAATAGCTTACAAATACTTATGTTTGATTAAAGGACCTAGCTTACTTAGGTTAGTTTTAATATGAAACTCAATGTTATATTTCATAACCAGAAAGAATATAACTAAATATAAATTCAGCAAAATAGTCTTTGAGGTTTAAAAAGAAAAACTATGAAACAAAACAAAGACTTGGGAATATAAAAATCTACCTCTGCCACTAATTTCTGGCCAAGTCACTCTAAGCTTTTTACATTTCAAATTGTCTGCCAATAAAATAAAGAAGCTAGACAAATGATCTTGATGAGTTGTGCTGATTCATCTGTTATGACCCTTCTGACTTCTTGTTAAATTTTTGTAACACAAAAAAGATTTTATATGGAACAGAAATTTAAATATTAAAAAAGAAGACAATATGATAATAAAATAGTCTTGTAAGAGAGGATTGCTAGGGAAAATACAATACTCAGGCAAGACACCAGTGGCTCCTGTCTCTAATCCTAGCTACTCAGGACGCTAAGATCTGAGGCTCAAGATTCAAAGCCCATGCAGGAAAGTCTATGAGACTCATATCCAATTAATCATCAAAAGGCTAGCAGTAGAGCTGTGGCTCAAGTGGTAGAGTGCCAGTCTTAAGTGAAAAAGCTGACGGACAGCACCAGGCCTTGAGTTCAACCCCCAGTATCAACACAAGAAAACAAAAACAAAACTAAAAAACCCTCAATACTCAAAAGTAGTAATAAAAACATAGTAGTAATAAAAAAATACAAAAAAAAAAAACTCTATACAAAGCAACCTAAAAGGAATAAAGAGATAAGTCAGAAAAGATAATTTTTGTTTTGTAAGTAATACTTAGAAATGAAGCTTTATATATTCCTCTGACCTCAAAAAAATCCAGATCATTCCAATAAAACATATATTAATTTATATAATACTCAAAGAACACTATGAATCTAAAAATAAGGCTTTCAATTTTCTTGATTCTGGACATACTGTTTCTTAACATAAATTCAACTGTGAGTTCTTAAAATTTAAATGGAAGATAATAGATATATTACCTGCATTTAAATCATTTACTGGTACTTGTAAAGTATCTGAAACTTTTTTTAAAATAGTCTGCATTTCTGGTCCAGTCTTGAAGGCTTCTACATGATAAAGAGCTGTCTCATTCCTTTCCACTTCAGTTAAAAACTTCTCACAATGATCAAAGAACCTCATTAGTTTGTCATTGATTCTTGGAGGTCCACACTCCATATCTAAAAGACAAAATTATACATATGTAAATAATTTAACTTCAAATTCTTGAAAATTTTATTTGAAATGTGAAAAAGGAACACTAGCAACCTATAACTTTGAATGTCAAAAATAAGCACATAATAATCAAGAAAAGCCAGTGGTAGCGTGCTTGCCTTGCATGCATGAGGCCCTGGGTTCGATTCCTCAGCACCACTAAGCAGAAAAAGCTGGAAGTGGCGCTGTGGCCCAAAGTAGTAGAGTACTAGCCTTGAGCTGAAGAGCTGAGGGACAGTGTCCAGGCCCAGAGTTCAGGCCCCATGAATAGCAAAAAAAGAAACAGACAAACAAGAAAAGCCAGTGATAAAACTATTCTCTATGTATAATGATTGTAATACATAAGAAGATATGCTAGAAAAAACTAAAAAGTAGATTTTTGAAAGTAAAATGTGTTAATACAATACAATGTAAAAGTAAATGAATTTACTGTTTTCTTGTAGAAAACAAAAATAGTTACACAGGTAGGTCATAAAAAGTACAAAACTGTTTTAGGGGGCCTTTTGGCCAGGTCCAGAATATTTTAAAAAGTAAATGAAAATTTGAACTTTCTAGGTATACTAAATGAGATAAAATTCAAGACTTGATCTGTTTCTCTACTAAACTCAAAGTAGGAACATTTCGTTTTTTTTACTTTCCCAACCCTATGATTTTACAGAAGATTCTGTGTTAGAAAGAAAAGACTGACAACACAAAATATACAAGATATCAAAATACACAAAATATCCAGCTGATATGCTTCACTGTGGTGGATGCTTTTTATCTTATAACTGAAGCTCCCAGGTAACCTTTCCATTTAAATTTCAATTAGGTTACATTATTTCTCCAACTTAGAAACACATATGTACCAAAAACACATTCACAATCATCCTGAAATTGAGGGGCCTTTTAAAAGTCAAATTCAAAACAAATCTCAATCATTCGAATAATTCATCACAAAAATAAATCGCTTCTGAGTACAAAATACGAAATTAAAATGTCTCATATTGATGCTCACTGAAATGGGTAATTCTGACTACTTTGCCAATTGAGTTATATGTCTTACTTAAAAATCTCAAATAGCTAGAGACTGAAATTTCTGTGGCCTTAAATTTGTTACTATCCAATTCTTGCAGCTTTTTAAACAAAGACATTGAAAATATTAACTCTAATTCATTGGTTTTCTCAAACAAAACATATACACCACAGGCCAAACAACTGTCTGTAAATGATAATGAAGTGGCTGGGTAAAAGATTTAATCTCTGAAACAAAAAATGATGAAGCATGGGTTTATCCTGAACCATTCTGATCATTAATAGCACTCTGAGGCTAATAGCAATTTCTACAATGCAATCTGAAGACATCATTCATTCATTCCAGGAGTTCCAGTATAAAATACATAGTATATATGGTGCTACATTTAAATGTTCTGCTTCTGATATTCAGTTAATTTAAGGGATTTGGGGGAAAGTTTCACTCATGCTACTAGAAAAGGATTGCTATAATTAAAACACACAATTCAACAACTGCATGTAGTCAGTCAATTCAGTTATCTATAAGCATAACACACAGTGGAGTAATTTCTTAAAGATGGCTTAATTGCTACAGAAGTACTTCTTTTTATGTAAACTTCACAGCTAAATGATACTCCTCATTTCAATTCTGACCTTTAAAACTGATAAGCAACTAATTAACACTTATTTATCTCCTGACACAAAGATGTCACACGTTATTGTTCTCAGTAGGAATGCTACAGGACAAATGGAAGACATATACTATAATAATTTAAAAACTCTGAATCAGCTTTCCTGGTTCCACAGCTAGCCAGGTGAAAATGAGAAAATTATCTGATTTTTTTTTTCATCTTATGACCTGTCAGATGAAGGGAACTACCACCAATTTCAGAAAGCAGTTGTTAGGATTTAGTAAAACAAATGTAAGGGATGTCTAGCATATGCTAGGCATTAAGTTTTGTTTTCATTATTTGTGCCCATTAAACAATTTCAAAGGGAAAAGGCACCGACCTGGAAACACACACACACACTCTCTTTCTCTCTCTAAAAAACAGAAACCCCAATTCTGAGTCTTAGTCCTTCCTTAAACTAGATAAAGAGGCACAGCCTTGGGTTCAGCTTCTGCACTTGTTAGAAGTGTAACTAAACTTCTGGAATTTTTAAGTTATCGCATGTGTCCACGTCTCACAGCTACAACAAGGGACCTCTATAGTACACATGGTAACAAAACAGAAGGAAGAAGCAGGGCTTAAAGGTTTGGGAGCAGTTTCCTTGCACAACGTCTAAATCTAGAATCCACATCTGAAAAAGAGATCAATTTAAAAAAAAAAAAATTAAGCTATTACCAGAACCAGTGACTGCGAAAGTTGGGTGTAGATTTTACTTTACAAATGTTCCCGACTACCGGCCTGAGTGGGAAATGGGCTGGCCTGGAGATCCCGGGGCAATTCCATTTGGGAACGGGAAATACAGAATTTCGAGAGAGATCTCTACGTCTAGCTCTCCCCTTGGTGGATCCGCAGGCGTCCAGCACGTAGAAGGTGCTAAATTCATCCCGGAGGGATGAATAAACAAACATATTTACAAAGACAGCGGATGGACGGTCCGGCTCACACATTCGGTCATCAGAGAGGGCAACCCGAAGAATGGAAGACGGCGGAGAGAGCGGGAGAGGCTGGGTCTGGGGTCGCCCACGGTTCGGGAATGGAAGCGTTGAGGCCCCCCGCGGCTCACCTGCGACGTCGGGGGGCGGCAAGCCCGGGTGGTAGTGCTGCCACAGCCCCTGCAGGAAGGCGGCGCCGCTGTCCACGCAGCGGTGCTTGGAGCTGGTGACCAGCCGCAGGCGGCCGTAGTTCTCCCGGCTGAAGAGGGCCGGGAAGAGCGCGGCCAGGCGGAGCGCCAGGCGCCGCATGTCCAGCCGTCCCTTCTCCACCAGCTGCCCGTCCATCCAGTCCGCGTACCCCAGCGGCCAGGCGGCCAGGGCGGCGCCCAGGCCGCCGGCCTCCCCCTCCCCACCGCCGGACCTGCGGGCCTGCAGCAGCCCGTGCAGCTGCCTCAGCTTGCGGATCTGTTTGGCCGTGGGGTAGCGGGTGCCGTGGCGGATGAGGGCGACCAGCTGCACCGGGGTGCAGGAACCTTCCAGCAACTTCGGGTCCCGCCGCGGCGCCTCGGGGTCCGACCGCAGCGCCGGGTTGACATCTTCGTAGCGGGTCTTGGTGCCGAAGTAGGGACTGAGCGCCGAGACCACCGCGTCGCGCGGCTCCAGGAGAGAGCAGCGCGCGAGCGAGGAGAGCAGCGCCGCAGCCAGGGCCGCGGCGGGCGCTGCGGAGGTCCTGAGGACGCCGGGACAGCCGCAGAGCATGGTGGTGCCGGGGCGGCCCGCCGGGGGCGACGCGCCTGCTGCTGGCGGGCGACTTCCGGTTCCGGTAGGCAGGGGGCGACCTCGGAGCGCGGCTTCCGGTTCCGGGCCTTCCGCGGCTCTCGAGCGTCTTCGGGTGACTGGTGGAGGATGGCTGCTGTCGGAGAGGAGCCCTGCGGAGCCCGGGGCACCTGTGACACAGGTAGAGCCGGCCTCGGCCCCAGCGTAGGCGAAGTTCCTTCTCAGCTGGCGCCTCCCCGCGCGTCTGGCTTTGTAGGGTGTGGGGTGAAGCCCAGACCGAGCCTCTTAGCCTCCCGGGCCTGGGACATCTTTTCATAGATGACTCCGGGTCACCACCCTGCTTGGTTTGGTTTTCAAACTACCATCTCTGAGCCCTCTGCATCTGGTTCACTTGAAAATGCGGATTGCTGGACTCTTGTTGCAGGATACCGGTTGAAGCTCAATTCTTGTTTTCTTTTCCATTCTGGTTTTGAACATTGGGAAACTCAGGAAAGGGTTTATTTACCCAGAAATGTCAATCCTGATCTTTTTGTTTTATTCAAAACCTGAACGAGCAGAACACCCCCAAATGAGCATGTTTGTTTATCTTGAAGGCTTCCGAGAATAGGGACCACAATCCTTATAATTGGCCTGCATTGAGTCATGGCCCGACCGATTTACTCTGTTATTAAGTATGAAGTCATTACCTGTATGAAGCAAACATGCTCTTTACCACCACTCCATATCCAAACTCTTGCTGTGTGGAAATGTACTCACATCCTTCGATCTGACCGTTTACCTTGGTTTCTCCTGAACCCTCGTATATATATATGCCAGTTAGGGTGGAAAAAGTATTTGAAGTCATATAATGATCAGTGTTTTGTGAATGCATCTTTCATTTCAAAGACACTACCTCTTTCTACTTTACATTTAACTTTTTGGTTAAGTTCCTCTCTGTTTCAAGAAGCTTTACTTCTATTAACTAAGAAGAAAATGGTATGAAATCAAGAATAGATTCCAACTTGAGCACTAAAATTTAAAGCTATTCTGTGCAGTAAGTGTGCTTTCTGTGCTATTTTGTTTAATGTCAGTGCCAGGATTTTCATCATTAACATTTTCATAAAGCAGCGCTCAAATTAATACTGAGCAAGTGTCTACCTTCTTTTTAATAGACTTCCTAACCCTTAGACTATAGGCTGAGCTGCTTAAATTCATTCAGAAAGTATTTTGCCAAGTGAATCACACTATATTTTATTTAATATATACTTTTCAGTAATGATTACCTTGCATGCTCAATCTCTTTAGGCCTCAAGATCTTCTCAAAGGCAGCATTCTCTTCTTCCTAAGTTTTCCTTCATTCTATAAAGCAATGTTTTGAGAACCCTGCTCTAAACCACGTATTATGTAGTTAAGTTATACTTAAGAGTATAGCATTCTTATACACTTAGTTCATTCCCAGCTTGATATTTACCCCAGTAACTCATCTGTTAGTTACATATATTTATATAAGCCAACTCCAGTATTATTTATGTCATGTTAAGATGACAATAAAAGTAAGCTGTCTCTGGCTGTTGGGGTTTTCTGTTGTTTTGATTCTGGCCTTTTGAATCAGGGTCTTACCATGTAGTTCAGACTGGCCTTAAACCTACTGTCCTTCCACCTAAGTCTCCTGAGTGCTAGGATTATTGGTATGTACCACCATGCCTGGTTATACTTTGGTTTTGACTAGGAAAAAGCCAGATGAACAAAGAGTCTATAAGCTTTGAATGCAGACTCCAAACTCTACCACTGTATATGACCTTGATAAAGTTACATAAACTTTCTGAGCCCCAATTTTCTTATCTGAAAATATGGAGTATTAAAACCTGCAAAAAAATAAAAATAATAAAACTTACATAGGCTGTGGGAGTGGCTCAAGAGGCTCTCAAGATCCAAACACAATATAATAAAAAATGTAAATGCTAATACTAATAATGATTATATGTTACATTGTAAGTTAGAATAAGAAATTGTGTATTTAATAAAGTTGTATTTTTTATCATTGATAATGTTTGATGTCATTATTCCTGCACTAAAATACTTAATTCTCAAATACTTACCAGCAGTTATGTTGTATGCATTTATTTCCACTGCACAGGAAAGTAAGTGACTTCCACAAGCATGATATGCCACAGAGATATTTCTTTTTTTCTTTCACCAATGCAATCATGTTTATTGCAGCCACTATTTACCACAGCCAAGACATGAAATAAACCCAGATGCCCCTCAATGGATGAATGAAGAAAATCTGCTATAGACACACAATGGAATTCTACTTATCCATCAGAAAGAATTATATATTACCATTGGTAAGGAAATGGAAAGATTTGGAAAAACTTACTCAAAGGTAATATGTGAGGATTCTAATAGTTTGCATCCTCACTGATTGTTGTGATCCGACTCTTGGAGTATAAATGTCCTAATGGGTATTAACTGCTATATGACTTTGATTTTTATTTCTTGCCACACAGATATTTCATATATCTCATATTAAGTAAAAAAATCTAAAGTTTTAATATGAGAAACTTTTTTTTATCTTTTCATATCAGGCAATGTCCCTATTTTCTGATCTGTGTGTAAATTGGTTCCCCTTGGACAGACATGTCCATCTGGTGCAATCAAGTGGCGCTCACAATATACAAAACATGGCTGCCTTTTGCAGAGTAATGTGTGAATTACTCTGAGGATAACACAGCAAGCTAACAAAAGAGACAGAATGATAAAGCTTCAAGTTCTTTGAATAGGTGGGAGAGGACAGATGAAACCTAACACATACAAAATTTTATTTGGGCCAGAAGAGAATTCATCTTGTGAGTAACATGGGAAGGATGGATGAATGTGTATAAATCTAAAAGTATGGTTGGAAGAAGTTTATGAAATCGAAGACTAATTGCCACAGTTTTCTCCATCATGTTGAAAGCAGTATTGTCTGAAGAGATAGGGAACTGGGAGTTAAATCTTAGAATATGAGCATGGCTTGCATTTGCAACTGATAGAAATGAGAAAACAGTGAACAAGGATTTGGAATAAAGGTATTGGTAAAAATAAGGAAAAAGTTAAATGGTCAGCACAAAGGATCCACCTAAAAATGCATGTAAAGGTGAACATTGGCTGTTGTGTTTCAGAGTGGAAAGAAAAATATTTAACTTGATTCTTTTTACATTTTAATATTTCTTAAGTAGAATGTTTCCAGTTAACCCACTATACTAAACAACAAGCTATGTTGGGGGGGGGGGGTTGCCATGTTATTCATAAGACTTTAAAAATAGTAATTTCACTCATTATTTCATTTGAGTTGTAGATAGTATTCTTGTTATGACCATCTATTATACTTTTTAAAAGGCTGTTTAAGAAGATAGCTTCCTAGTGAAGAAATAATAAAGGAAAGAAAAGGGCAGGTTCTCTTGCTAAATATATATACTATTGCTTAAGATCATAATCTCTGAAATTTCAAACTTTGGCTTTATCATTCACTATCTGTGAGATCATAAGCAACTCTTTGGCCTCCTTTTTCTCTCCTCTAAGGGAGGATAGTAACACGCCATGGAATTGTTAAATAAGACAGTTGACATGAAAACTTCATTCCGTTTCTTGCCTAGAGTGACTATCAGTTGTTTTGAGTATAATTTGAACTTTTTTATTATCACTTTCTCCTTCAAACAAGTAAACTGACAAATGGTCATTTCCTCCCTTGATAGCCATTATCTCACAACCACATTAACCAACTAACTTTGTGCCTGTGCCAAGAAAGTTTTACCCTGCTTTCTTACCACCCGCTGTTGCATCACTCTTCTTTCTACAATCAATTGGCCAATTGTTCGTTGGCTTAGTACTTAACTTGCTTTTTGTTGCAATAGAGCAAGCTAACAGGATGGATGGGACTGGAGTGATCCATGTTCCAATGGCAGTTGCTCAAACTTGTTTGAGTGTGGGTGTTACTGAAGTGACAAGATCTGAAGGTTCTCAGATACTTTGCTCAAAAGTAACCAAACCACTACCAATAGCTAACCATTGGATTGTTCCCCAGCATTTCAGAGCTAATATGAATTACTTTGAGTCATGTTTTGCCTAGTATAGATAGCTTTGGGAAGACACAGTCATCCACAGAGGTGGCTTGCCACTTTCATTCTCAAAATGCCCTGCCAAAAGGTTTCCTTTGCACTGGCAAGATGCATGTACACATGTAGATTTTTGTTGTTAGTAATTCTTCCTTCTCATAAAAAGTTAACTCTAAATCATAGAATTATAAGAAACCAAATGTAAAATTATAATTTACTAATATTCTTTATTAATATAAACAATATACATATTTTCTACACCCATCTAACAGAGAGAATCTATAGCTACACATTTTTTTTAGTCCTATTCTAAAGTGACTTTCCTGCACAAGTTAGCCTTATTGCTCAGTAATATAATTTCCCCTAGAAGTCACACCAGCCCAAAATATATTGTTATCTCATCACAATAATGAGTAATGAATTTCCAAACTCTGATTTCAAAAAGAAATCTCATATTTTTCTAAAACAGTCATAGAACATCACAATTATCTGTTGTTGTTGTTGTTTTTTAAATATTAGCTTCCCAAAACAGAAAAGTCCCTTTGAGCCATTGGGTCTTTAGCATATTTGGTTAGCTGGCATTGAAACCATTCATGTCTGTTTGTCATTCCAAAGAATAAAGAACTTGCAGAACAATAATTTTTCATTCTTCAATCAGAAGGCAGTTTTCAAACTTAGTTTACTAATGTTTCCGTTGTTTCAATAGGCAATTCATGAATGAATCTTCTTTTTCTTTATAGCATGACCATAGCCTTCATCAGTTCAGTTTCTTTGTATATATTATATATTAGCAAGTATTAAAACCCAAACAGTACCTAAGCCAGAAAAGCAATACATGCTCACATACATGATTGCAGCCACTTTAGGATAGTTTAATAAAAGCAGATATAATGGTTCCACAAATAGCATCTTTAGTTTA